TCTGTTGGCCAATACCCTTCCTGAAAGCTGATGCACACACCCAGCCGCTGATGTGCAGCAGAGAGCTCAGCACTCCTGCGAAAAGGCAACGGTCACACAGACATCTCATACGCGGGAGGACCCCCTGTTCCAGAAGTCTCAGGGGAGGTTTGGTTTTTTCGCAATACCCAGAGGTTGTTGAGCCACAGCCTGTTGTGCTTTGATATTGATCCTCAGGTTCTTCCCACTTGTGGGAAATCTGGCTGGTAATTCCTGGTCTGTATTTGTACAGTCAGTTACTCACTTGATAGTTAATCCCAACAAACCGGTATTCGTTGATAACACTTTGTGTGTTATCTTCTAGGTGGCCACAAATAGAAGTATTGGGTTTGTGCTCAATGTTTGTCCAGGAACTGAATTTAGACTGAATCTTCTAAAATTCTTTGGCATTCTTTCCTTCCCCCGTCCCTTCTTCCCTCCTTTGTTCCCTCTTCCTTCCTCTCTTCCTTCCTCTTTTCCTTCCTTCCCTTACCCTTCTTCCCTCCCTCGATCCCTCTTCCTTCCTCTCTTCCTCCTTTCCCTCCTTTCTTCTTCTCTTCCTCTCTTCCTTTCTCTCCCTCTTCTTCATTCATTTCTTCGGTCATTCCTTTCACTTAAGATCCAAGCGGATCAAAGTGTAATTTTGACCATCTAGGAAGGCTTGGAGCAACTGCCTGTGCATGAGGGTCCTTGCATGGAGTGAGAGCCCTTGTAATGTATGACAATTCTTGACATTCACTGTGGCTTTCCTGAAATGTTCTGGACTTTCCCAGCATCCTTCACTTGGAGTAACCAACAATTCAGAAAGATATTTCTCTTTTCTCCCTGCTGACCTGTTGAAAACACAGTCCTGCCCAGCCCTGATGCCTCTCCTCAGGACGCTGTGAAGATAACGCGAATTTCCTGATTTTCCTTCAGCCGTACACTGGTCCTGTACATGCACACCAGGGAAGGCAGTGACCTGGGCTGCTTCAGCACCAGAGCTGTCAGACAGTTCTCGACATGGAGCAGCAAAGACCCGCTCTTTATTTCACCAGGCACTCAATCTCTTCCAAGGGAAGCAGGGCCCACGCTCTCTTTTAATAACATCATCAATTTCTCAGGCATGCCAGGGTCAAGCTTTAATATCACCGGCATTCTTAGGGTGAAAACTCAACCCTTTATCCTTTCATCATCAGAGCTGCTGTGTTGGACGTGGCTCTGTGGACCGCTCCATGCAGCCAAGGCACGAACCAGCTCACGTTCACACCGTTGAGGGTTAGCACCACACAAAGGGGACTAGCTGTGCTCATTCTTCATGGCGCTTGGTTTGGATAGGCTCTTTGTCCCATGCCTGAGGATATAATTGCATTTTTTGTCAGCTCAAAATGTTTGAGGGAGTAGGAATTAATTTTTTTGAAGCCTGACAGAGAGTTGTTCTCTCTAGAATGAAGAAGGGATGTGTTGGGGACACTGGGGAGTGGCGGGGAAGTGTGTGCATGGGGAGGGCAGGGCTGTCTACAGTGGAGCTGCAGCTGAGAGAGGCCAAAGCAGTCTGATACATCTCTTGTCTGGGATGGGCTCTGGTGTGAACTGTCCCGCAGCTGGCTCTGTCTTTCCCTGGGGAAAAGGTGTGGTTTGGTCTAGAAGAGAGGGTGGGGTAGGATCAGCATGTGTGTCCTGTAAACACAGAGAGAACAAAGCAACAAACCAGTTAACAAAGATCTGGTGTGGGACCTCATGTCTGCACCCTGTGTCAAGGTACAGCTGGTTGATCTGAGGTGAGAAGGCCTGTAGAGATGGGAAGGATGCTCATCTGAGGAGATGCATGCAGAGAGAAGCGAAGCATGCTCTGTTTGCATTGTCCCTCTGGAGGCCATAGAAACGCATTCCCTGAGCATGGCAATTGCTTTCTATGGCTTAACGAGGGCTTTGCATTTATGAGCGAGTTAGGAGGAGAAAGGGTAATCATGAAACCGAACGCTCTTTTGCTGGAACAACTGCACTTGCTGTATTGTCTTTGGGCGTTTCT